AAAAAAAAAAAAAAAAAAAAAAAAAAAACGGAATCAAAATAATTCCGTTTCATCCGTTGTAGTTCTGCGATTGTAACCGCCGCGTGCACGGCTTATACAAATACTCCATCTCGGCTAATTTTGGATGTTTCTTTTATTATTTTTCCCTTCATATATTCTGTTAGTTTAAATCGTTGTATTACACTTCTGATATTTTTGGAGTGTTAAGGAGAAACATTAGGAGCGGCGCCGCCGTTCGGACTTGTGGCTCCGGTTACGCCCCTCCGTGTAAGGTCGGGATAAGGATATAATCCCCAAAAAAAGAAAAAGAAAAAAAAGGAGTTTGGAGGGAGGGGGGGACAACAACTGGTGCACATGACATGCTTGTGGACTCCACAACAAGGCACAATGAAAAGAGAAGCCCAATATTTATTTGAGAGCGAGAGGAAGTGATAGTGGCCCTTTCATATTAGCTTCAAAATCCTCACTTCCACTTCAACCTTTAATGGACATCGGCCACCGCAAACCCTCGTCCTCCGCCACCGCCGGCCGCCGCTCTTTGCCTGTTAATTTATCTTCCCTCAGTATGGTTGGCCAAATAATTAAGGCTGCTGCTACTGCCGCCGTTGTCAATTTGTCGGTTTTAGTCTCTCCTCGTATTCAATGAAAATTCATCTTTATATATATATATATATATTTGCAATCCCCCAATAAATTTGCTCAGACTTTTCCACCCTCTTCCTTTGAAATTCCTGCTACGGATATGGGTGGAGCCTGAAACTCCATTAATATTCATATTATTACAACACACCGCTTTTCATGGATCTTGCACAATTTCTTCCCATATTTCCTTCATTTCGTCTCAGCCTTCCATGCACCACCCGTATCAGTATATATGCAACATTGGCCAAAATATTATTTATTTTCAACGAATTTATTAAAATTTAAAATTTTAGATTTATTGTTGGAATAAAATAAGAAAAAACAAAATTCATGTTACATTCCAGTATTGAGCCACGTGGTTGAAGAGAATGTCGGTGGCGGTGGCGGTGGCGGTAGCGGGAGTAGTCAACAGCACCGTTAATCGACTGTTAACTTGAGGATTAGACGTTTAACAACTAATGAATGGAATCCAAAATTGAAATTTTGGAAAATTCCTCCTTTATATTATGAATAAAAGAGAAAAAATAGAAACTTATACGAGTCCACATGTAAATTATACATCCAGCTGTCCGCTTCATACCCCCGTGAGAGGGCTTTGTTGGGCTATCATTCAGCAACGTGTCGATTAGTTATTTGCCACGCAACTCAGTCCCCACCGCTTTAAATATTTTTCCTGATATATTCCACAAATTTAATAAATTCATAATCCCACGCCCACTTCCTATTTTTTATAATGCTTTTGCGAATGAGACAAAAATGCGTAACATGATTTATACTCCCTAAATATAAATTACATAAAAAATATTGGAAGCCCAGAGTGGAGAAATGACGTGGGGGTGGCCTCACGACTCATGAACTCGAATCATCTTCGAGTAAATATTAATTCCTAATTTAGTATAATTCATAATATATGCGCCCATAAATTTAAGAATCTAGATTAGATACTTTCTCGATACGATATGATTACGTAAGATAAGAAGGAAAAGCATATAAAACCAAAAATCACACAATAATTGGTGGTACGGGCTGGGTGCGAGGGTAGGGCGGCGATGCACGCAATTGTATTTTTCAAAGCACAGCCGTACAAGAAATGAACTCCATTCATTCATTCTCCCTCTTTCTTCAACTAAAATTTGAATTTCTACTAATTTTACAACTAAAAACCCTTCTTTTATTGTTTTTTATTATTTATTTTTTAGGATTTTAAATGTCAAACAAATATACAATTGTTCCTAACCTACCCAGAAATTTATATTATAATTTTTAAAACATTTCAAATACTTTTAAAATGTGCAATTCCAACGAACACTATCAGTAATATATTATCTGCTTTTAACCCCAAACCTACCATTTTAAAACATCTTACAAATGTCTCTCCCAATGGTGAACCATTATGAATAACAATAGTTGTAACGCAGATTCCTCCAAAAGCCTCAATAACAGGCCCACCATAACTTGCACTAAAAATTAACTTCGGGCTCGAATGCCATTTGCATCTCAAGCAATCTTAATAGGCCTGGGTTATCAAGATATACTCACACATGTCCATATATAATATATATATATATATATATATATATATATATATATATATATGTGGTCAATCCCACAACCTTTCCAAGGAAAAATTATGAAAGTTTATATTTTAAAAAGAATTAATTGTTGGCATTGTATATGCATGGAGAACAAATAATTTAAATTCAACCTTACTACATATTGTATCTGTTTTGTGGGTTTTCCCTCAAGTTTTTAAAGTCGATGATGGAAATTTTTCAATTTCACGCCCACTGATCCTACCGCGTTGGTTCCCCGAGACCCACGGTCCAATTCTAAAGCTCCCATTCACCGAGCCCGATCAATTTATTAGCAGATTCGAAGCACCCCAACTCAGGGAAAGAATATTCCATTTTCCCCCTGAATCCTTGGCCGTTCTCAAAGCCAGAGCAAACACAGAGCACAAAACCAACAAAATCTCCTCCTTCCAATCCCTATCCGCACTCGTCTGGAGAAGCACAACACGAGCCCGTGGCCTATCCCCGGATCAAACCACCGGGTGCAGATTGGCAACAAACAACAGATCGAGGCTAAATCCATCGTTACCTGAAAATTACTTCGGGAATTCGATTCAAGCCATAAGAGGGGTTGCGACAGTAAAGGAGCTCCTGGAAAACAATCTCGGATGGGCGGCGTGGAAATTGCACGAGGCTGTAGTGAGCCACGACGACGAGAAGGTGCGAAATCACGTGAACAAGTGGCTGGAATCTCCGTTCGTGTATCAAATCGCCCAATTATTTGATCCGTTGAGTGTGATGATGGGAAGCTCCCCTAGATTCAACAAGTAGGGGAACGTGTTTGGAATGGGGAAGGCCTTGGCTCTTCGAAGTGGGTATGCGCATAAATTCGACGGGAAAGTATCTTGCTTCCCAGGATCTGAAGGAGGCGGAAGCATGGATCTGGAGCTGTGTCTTCTACCAGATTTCATGAGTGCTCTTGAAGCTGATAATGAATTCATGAATGCCGAATGTAAGAAATTGGTTAGTTTTTGTGGTTTTTAGTCTCCCACGAGCCCAAATAAAGACTCCATTTTTAACGTTGTTGAATTATTGGACTCCCAAAAGGTAACATTTTCTCCCTCGAAAATCTCGCGTTCTTGCTTAGTTAAAAAAAAAATTCAAAGCATAAGAAGTAGGTGGATATCATATGATCTTAAACAATTTTTTTAATTTGATTAATAACTGAAACTCAAATCAAACTTGAGCAATGAAAAAGATAAAGCATTTAATTTAGTTTGAAGTCAAAACTTAGACCATATGAATTTGGCTTTTAGACCAAGTCAACGCACCAAATTCAAACATCCTAATCAAAAACGATTTTTTTTCTGCCCACTCCATGGATAAAGTTATCCGTTCCAACCACCACAAATATACAACTTTTTGGATATTTAAAAAAAAAAAAAAAAAAAAAATGGTGTTTTCAACATGATTCCTTTTGTTAGCGGTCCTGCAGCAGCCGCGGTCTCCTTGTTTGCTGTCCTTTATGGTTTCACTTGACGACCTTAGAAATTTCTATTTTTTATTTTATTTTTTATTATAAGGTAAATCATTTGGGGTTTCAAATGTGAAAAATTGCTATAGCAAATAAAACCACGGTGAAATATGAATAGATTTTTATTTGATGTCTTGGACTTTAAATGAACAACTTAATATGTTTTAAAATTATGTTAAAACCAAAAATTTAAATGGTTGAAAATATTAATTTTTGTAACAATCAAATCCAGGGAGGGAATTTACAATTTTACCATTTTGAAAGCAAACCACATCTCGAATTCCAGATGGAGTGCCAAAAAGTCTTTGTACACAGCCGTCACTAACCAATCAGATTCAGCGTACAGAAGAAGACAAATTAAGGCAACTTAGGCATTCAATCACCGCAGTTGAATTACGACACGTGTGTTAAATTGGAGATGGATATTTGTAATCTCGGATCCAACGGCCCAAACAAACCGACTTGAATATAAGATCACGCCAGATGCAGGCATGTAAGAAAGCCTTCAGCTACAAGTTTCCGGTTTGGGCGCACATTACAAATACGAACCAAAAAAAGACGCCTTGTTTTACGCTGCCGCGAAGGCATATTTATGGAAGTTCTTCAGCCTTTCCAACCGGCTTCTTCCTCCTCCTGTCTCCTTCCCGGTTGTTGTTTTTCCCCCTCCGATGAGCAGATCCTCTGCTTCTACCTCCCCAACAAGACCACCGCATCCATTTCCCCCAATTCGCTCGCCAATGGCGTTTCCCCCGGCTATAACTTAATCAAAGACCTCGACCCCTTCGACTACGATCCTTTCGATTTGCCGGACTCCGCGTGTTTTTCTTACGGTTCCAGGGGAAGAAAGAAGCACTGGTACTACTACTCAGTAAGTGTTTTTAGTGAGGAAAGAGGACGGATAAGAATGAAGAGCGGGTATTGGAGAAGAAAAAGGAGAGCGAGAGAGGCGATTATCCATCGAGGAGTTGTTCTTGGGATGAAGACCAGTTTTGTGTTCTATTGGGGGAATTCGATCGAGAACGCTGTGAAGACTAATTGGATCATGTACGAGTATGCCCTAGGCGATCATTTTAAGGTACTTCTGTCACTCTTGATTTCAACAATAAATTGAATTTACTGAGTTTCGTATGTTATCGGGGTAATTGTGGCTTTGATCCATAGGCTTCTTTTGTACTGCATCGGGTATTTTTTAGAGGTTGGGGACATGGCATTTCGGGTAATGGCTTAAGTGCTTATGGTGACGGAAGTGTCTCAGCAGTATGTCATAATGGCAATCAGGAAGATGGAATTCCAGTAACCAATTTGGTTGATGCTGAGCCTTGTGAAGGGGATACTTTGAACACAACCAATGGCATCGCAGGACATGAAATGGGTTGTGCGGAGAAGCCAAATTGTGTGCTCGTTACAGATCCTGTTACCACTTTGCAAGTCCCATCAGAAGCTTACCCTTGCGGGATGGTAAGATTAATTTGTATTAGTTCTTATTCTATTTCATTTGGTTCCAAATGCTTCATTTTCTGGCATTTCATTCTGTAATTTGTGTGCAGATGGCTCCCTCGCCTGTAACCCCTACTGGTTCAATCTCTATTCTGGACGGAGATTTTATAGAATTAAACGATCTTGATGATCAGTTGGATCCGGAAGATATCAGTCGATGAGTGTTAATTCTCAGGCTTATTCCTGCCTGACGTTAAATTTCAGATGGGGTACAAATTCTTCAGGGAAACTCTGTCTCTTAATGCGAAAGAAACTCTGTCTTGGAGTTAGCAAGATTGCATAAGGGAGGGGAGCAAATTACCGGTTGAGGTAATAGATCGCTTTTCTTTATGCTGTTTGCTTCAGTTTATTCTTCTCCCCACGTTTCAGGGAATGAGTAGCTTTTCTTTTTGTTTTTATGTTTGTTTCAGTGGATGTAAATTTGCAATTGGCTAAATGTTTGGCATTTTTGTTCTGATAAACAAGGGGATGTTGATTTATTCACCCAAATTGGAAGAAGACATGAATGTTGGTGTAATTAATGCTATTCTGCATCAGCCATTGAATTGCTATTCTGCATCAGCCATTGAATTGCTATTCTGCATAATCCATTTTTGCGATGATTAGTTTTCAAAATTGATCGATTCTGACCCCTTCTTTTCCTGATTGAAAGGTGTTTTATATTTACGTTAAACTCTCTTAACATATAAAATCTTATATTCTTGCACTGCTCCATATTTTCTGTATCTTTCGAATACCAATTCAAAATGGGCAAAATTCTTTCTTCATTGCATAACATATTTCAGTTTCCTTTTCAAGTTGGAACAATTATTTCTCTTGGAAAAAAAGTAAAAAAAGTACATAGTGCGAGCGAGCGAGTAGGTTGAACCTCAAAAAGGGTGCAAAAAGGGTGGACATAAGATGATGCACCAGCAAAGATGTTGGGCCCCGAAGGGGAGTAGATTGTTTGCTGGACCCCAAAGGGGATAAATTGGGAGATCCCGCATCAGTGGAGAAAAATAAGTTTCAACGAGGACACTTGGCTTCGAGGGGGGATAAATTGTGAGATTTCACATCGGATGGAGTCTTGGAGAAGGAAAGAAAACATTCTTTGAAAGAGTGTGAAACCTTCCCGAGTCTCAAAACAAAAGCCTAATTGTGTAACTCAAAATAAAATGAAATGAAAACCATCTAATTTAGTAATAATCACATAAATACATAATTACCATAAGAGTAAGTGTATATATGAGTTAAGCGTATGTTTGGGTCGTGCAAAGTATACCTTTTACATATAAACTTCCATACCTATGAATTTAGAGGATTGACAGAGAGGGCAAAAGCTAAGCCTACTTTCGCAGTCCTTGCAAAGGCAGAGATGCTTACAGGGCAACAAAAGCATGCACACTTCATTAACCCTGCAAGCTTTGCAGTACATCAAATCCTTCATATCATTGCTATTGCCGCGAAGCAGTTGAAAATCAAGCGACCGACCATTGCAGCACGATGCAGTGTCTTCCACCTCGCTATCCCCACATCCTTCCTTGCTATCCCTGCTTTGAGCATACACCTGCTGAAGATTGAACTTGAGAGCTGTGATCATGTTCTCGTTATACCTAGCTCGCTGCTGCCAAGCACCAGCTTCCACTGACAGCTGCTCCATCCGCTGTTCGAGTTCGATGTTTTTCTTGTTAATACACTCCACCTCGGCCTCTTTTTCTCGTAGTTTCTTAATAATTCTTTCTTCCACAGTCAAGAGAGTTTGGAGTTGATTTGCTTGGATCTTCTCTAATATGGTTCGTCGTAGCCTTTCGCCCTATCAATAGAAAGAGGCTTAGAAAATGCAGGTACTGGTTAAAATTCAGGACCCACACATAATTGAAACAGCTATGAAGCCATTCTTGATGCAATAAACATCTCAAATAGTGTAAACGCCCTGATAATTTCGATCCAAATTAGACAAAAACAAATATAACCCTGATAAGACAACCACGAAGGATTGGTCCAATATGGTCAGAACAGCATGTTATAAACTCCCATGTCTACGAAGTCAAAGGCTCAAACTATAAAGACTGTCTATTTAAAGGAAAAATCAATCATACCCCTAAAGTTTCATAATAGAATCAATTAAGGGACCCTCTTTTAGTGATTTATAACTTTTTTCACTCCATTCCATTTAACAAGTTATCCAATGTCACTAGTAGATAGAAAGCCAAGCTCGAAATCAGGAGGAACCAACATTCTGCATAAGTTCAAAAGAAAAACATAACCAGAGTAAAGCACGCCCATACATAGAACCAGACTTCATCATAGGCCAATTGCATGATGTTTTCTTTCATCAGAACAGCATGAAGATTACCAAGATATGTGTTTAATAAACGACCAGCTACTAATTGCAATGTTCTGCAGAACATAATTAATGGCGACTACGTGATAGGATCAATAATTGTAAGAGTATGCTAATCCAGACCTGAACATGGAGGAATTTCTCAATATCTTCGTCCTGTCGCTGTAGTTCAAGATCAATGTCATCACCTATAAGAGAAACCAAAGGCGAGTCGCCTGTAGAAGCCATGCGGGTGTTGTCAAGCGATAAACCCAGTCCTGTGGAAACTGGACGTGGCTGCAAGAAATCAATGGATGATATTTGGGAATTGTTCTCGAAAAGATCTTGCTCCTTCAACCTTTTCTTTTTGGGTTCAATGCCATGCATCCAGTGAAAATCCGCTACTCCATCACTGGCGTCCTGGCCAGGGGCTGTACCTGGTGCAAACCCGACTACATGAACCAGAATAACACAATAAATGCGGCAAAACACCTAAGACACAGCTCATTAGATGTTTGGACCAGTTTCATGTGCTTATTTTAGACCAACATTGAATTAGTAACTCTTAAGACTTTCCACAACATGAACAAAATAATCAACATTTTGGGCAAAGAGAGTTTTTCTTAAAATGTTATAACAACAAACCATAAATAAAGATTGCTGCTTTGAAATTGGGCAAAACCCAAATTTGAAGCAAAACTAAGAGGTGACAGAGATTAAGAACGACATGGAATAAAAGAAAAGAAACGAAGTAAGTAAAAGAAAATTTACATGGAGGAACATAAGGAGGATGCTGGGAGTGCTCCTGCAAATTGAAGGGATTGAAATAGGAGATGGGTTGAGAAACATGACCCTCGGCGGTGTACAAGTTGCTGCAGTTAGAAAGGAAATGCAAAATCAAAAGAATCGAAACTGTGTGTGGCTAGGGTTTCAAATAAAACCAAAATTTCTGGTTTTACATTGTGAGGAACAAGAATTACCGAAAAGATATCGATTGGTGTTGCTGTTGGGATTGATAGTGTTGCTGGTAGTGATTCTGAGGCAGAGCCATGGAGCGATGAATTCCCAGACACAGCAACGGAGGAAGAGACGGAGGAAGAGACGGAAGTAGATAGGCTTGCCAAGACCAACACACGACTGCTGCAAAATTTCCCAACGTTTCGTCAAATTGGGTGGGCACGCCTTCAACTCAGAGAAATTGTGCTCTGATCCTATCTGCGTCCGAATGAATGCTAGGCCCAAAATAAAGGCCTGCTGTGCTAATGCCGGAAGGGAAAGCAAGCTAGGCCCATCTTGTCGACGGCTTCCATCGGCCCGAATTTTAACCTACACGACTCCCCTGCTTTTTCAATAAGGTAGTTCAAATCTCTGGCCTCTTAAGGAAGAGGGCAGCAAAGTGGAAGCTTTTTGAATTTCAACTCCCCTGCCTTCGATCCAATCCCTCTCTCCCTCATTCCTTCCAGTAAAGCTCTCTTCTTTTTGTGGGGTTTCTGCTGGGACTTCCCCTTCTTCCACTTTGTATCCACTTTGCTTTGCCTTCTCATTCGCCACTTCTTTCTTCTTTATTTTAAACCAATACATTCTTTTACACAGGCTCAAAGCTCCTTTTTCAAAACCCTATCTTCTTTGCTCTCTCCTCCACCTATTCTTGAATGTCCCATGATATCCCACGAGTTATAAAACAAAGAAACAAACCAAAAAATCACCATATACCCACCAAAGATCTTGGGTTTTGAAGTCGGATTCCTTTACTGGGTTAGCATCATTAGTCCCATCTAAACTTCCCCACCACGATGCATGTTGCTACCGTGCATCACTGTATTCATCAGTATTACCGTTAATTAGGTTGAGGGAAAATGATAGGGGGATCGGTCATCCCACGAGATCACTTGGATTCAGCAGCTTAAGTTAACTGAGTGATGAAAGTGTAGTGTTACAAATATTGTCGTGTGTGAATCAAGTGGCAATTGAGCTTTATGTCTTTAACAAAAGCGAGGGGATAATGGAAGAAAAAGATGATACAACTTGTAGTGGTATGCTTTTAACGACCACAACAAAGTGGGTTAAAAACCACTGTTTTAAAGTGTAGAAGTCCCCAAGTAGATCTTTTTAGTCTTTAGCCTACATTTGTGGTAACAGGAAACTCCTTCTGCCACTTTAGATATAAGAGAAACAAGCACGATAGCCTTGGAGTTGGTGAAGCGGCCTTCTTTTCTTTTTATAAAACGTCTCTTTTTTCAAGGGGGGATTTCAACGTTTGCATGGAAAATGAAATCCATTCAAGAAGATCCTCTCGTACAAAAACGCATCTATAATGGAGAGGGATTTAACCCTATTCTAACTAATGCCTCGCACCGTCCGGAGTCTACCTCTGGTACCATTTGTACAATCAAAGCTCACGGTTAGCAGATATTATAAGATCTCACATTGGTTGTGGAGAGAGAAACGAAATATTCACCTCTCCCTAGTAAATGCGTTTTAAAATGGGGAGGTGGATTGTAAGATCCCACCTCGGTTGAAGAGGGGACAAAACATTGCTTGGCGTGGAAACCTCTCCCTACTAACCTGGGTGCAATATGTTTAGAAAGACTTGCCTAGGTGTTAGATGATTAGGTTAGAGGTATTGGTGAGTTGTTTGTAATGATATACAGGCAAAAAAAAGAAAGTTAGCACATGAGGTGTCAGTAAAAAACGTACAAGTTGATTGAGAGAGGGAAAAGATAAGATGGGATTTGCAGCATAAGTGAGGCAGCATAAGTGAGGCAGCATGCAGTTTATTTCCACACTGTGATGCTGAGTGAGTCAGACAAAAGAGGTTGCCAACGCAAAGACAGAAGAAACTAAACAACAACCTTGTTGTTTTGGCTTCTTCTTTGAGTTTTGATTCCCCTGCCTTTCCAAACAGCCCTAAGTGAGTGTTTATATAATAACCCAGTAACAGTACTTCTACTGTACTGCAACAACACTATTCAATTGAAACCCACAAACAAAGACCTTCCAAGATTCAATAAAAAAGCAATCAAACAACAGATTGGCACCCGGTGACAGGTTCTTGGAGACTGGAAGTCACCCATGTCTCTCCCATCCGTGGCTTGAGCTTATGTCTCCGGCGTCCTAGCTTTGCGGCCATTAAATCTGCATGAATCACTACTCCAATCCAGTGAAAAGATATGGAAATCGGGTTGATCCGGGTTTTATGATCCGGCAAATGAGTGTCAATCAGATTCAAAAGGTTGAAACGAGCATATTCCATGTTGGC